ATATATATATATATTTATTTATTTACACACACATACATATATTTATTATTACAATAATAATGATTATTTGTTATTGCAAAATGTAAAACCTCACATGAATCTAAACTGCACACTAAGAAGATGAAATTACTAGGTAATTATAATGTACAAGCATAAAAAAAAACGGAAAAAAACTTGAACTGAACTTTAGCATTTTGGGTTAACTTAGAAAATGTAGGTGCTGGTCCACCCAGCTCCAGATGCCCCTTCCTTCTACAGAAGCTTTAGAACAGGTGCAGGCACATTCTGGTCACTACTCTGTGGTTGTTAATCCAAATAGACAGCTGACGGACAATCTATAGAAAATATCTATAGATACGGACAATCTATAGAAATATAATCTAGTAAATGCACAAACTGAGGTGACTGTCATGAGCACCTATTTCAAGAGGCAAATTAAATCTGCATCTGGGTCAAAAGCCCTTGGATAGCGATGAGCCTAAAACTGAAAAGGTTTGCTGTGACAACACAGGATTTTGTCTGTAATTTCCTCACCTTGGAAGGCAGACGAATGTGCAACAATGGTGAATTTGAGTTCAAAATTCAGAGCCTGGATATTTTGAGACAGCTTTCTCTTCACGGCAGCCAGGTAGCTCTCCTCCATTTTCCTGGTACAGCATGTCGGAGCCTTCTGCTCACAGATCTGAACATCAGACTCTATTGCACACAACAAGGGAAGAGAAAGAATAGAAAGTTAAAACCATTGGCAAGGGTTGGCAGCACCTTCCATTATACAAAGTCACAGATACGAGGCATATTGATGCTTTAAAGGAGAACTATGGGGTCAGGGCTTTTTCCCATAGTTCTCCTAAGGGTAACGGGAGGACAGAAACAATCGTCCTCCTGTCACCCTATACTGCTCGCGGTATACTGAGACGCAGCAGCTGAAACGGATTCCGACAATTATGTCTGGATACGCCCTGGATACGCCCAGCTGCGTGAGTGACAGCTGGCTCTGCCTATCTAGAGGCAGAGCCAGCTGTACCCGCCCCGTCCCCGTCCGTTCCGCCAGTCAGCGCTGGAGGATCGGAGCGGGGAGGGGGGAATCCAGCCCCACCCCTGTCACGGCAGTGAGCCGTGACAGGATCGAGAAGTGAGCGACCACCAGTATGTGCTCGCTCACTTCCCGATCTACTGAGCCGACCTGTGACAGTTTCATTGTAACAGGTCAGCTAGAACTATGAGGTGAGTGAAAAGCACTCAGCTCATAATTCTCCTTTAAGGGCTAATGTATGAAAGCAGAACTCCAGATACACAGCTAAATACACAGCAAAACAAAGAAGTGAACATATGCAGTGCATATCTGAAAAACCTGCCCATGTCTCTGTCTCTTTAAAGCTGCCCATACACCTTACGAATATCGTCCGATTTTTGTTTGCGATCTCGTTTTCGTCTGATATTCGTAAGGTTGATGGGGAGTCTACAACCGCAAATATTGTACAGTCATTGACATTCGTCTTTCCAGCATGCTAGAAAACTTTGGTCAATCGTACAATTTTCGCAAAGGTTGGTGGTGTTTCCGTACGTCAAAATTCGTACGACTAAAAAAAAAAAACACTGCTCATGCGCAAACGAAAATCCGTGCGGCCGATTAATGAAATTCATCCAGGTGATTTCTGCTAAAGACCGCTAACTGAACCGTGCGATGGTCGGTGCAGGATGGGGGCGCTGTATGAAAATCGTACGATGATTGCAAGGTGTATGGGCACCTTTAGAATGCTGAAAGTACACTAATATATCTGCCAGAAATTCAGTCAGCTCCTAAATTTCTTCTGTCAGAAGCAGGGCTGTCCCCATAATGTGGCAGCCTGAGTCAGCCTCAGGCGGCTTCTCATTTAGGGGAGGATAGGGGGGGGCACAGCGTCCCAGTTTGCTAAGAGCTCTGTCCCACCCAGCTCATTGATGTCACCGGTTACCTAGAGCTGAGCAAAATGCTCTAGCTTGCGTCCCGCCAAGCTCCTGGCAATCAGTGACATCAGTGAGCTGAGACAGAGCCGCTGACAGTGCAGTCCGTGTCCACCGCTGCCCATTACCCCCCACTCCCCCTTCCCAAATGACAAGTGAACCAGTGAGTGACCATTCCCTGTCAGCAACACCTCTTTCCTGAATGAAATCGCCTCAGAATGGCCCTGGTCAGCAGACAACTGTGCAAATTGCTGTACAGCATTTTCAAGCAGTGTTGTCAGTCCTGCATTAAATCCTCGTCTGCCCGTCTCTGCCTCTGTATGTAAAGACAAAAAGTACAGAAGCGCACTACCAAGTGGTAGTCCCCTTGTGGAGATTTCCCCTTCATTTCCTATCTGAGGGCCACAAGAGGAAGTCAGGGGAAAACCCTCCAAAGTAAGGAAAATCCATAGTGATCACCAGAACTAATGTTGTCATTGGCAGACTTCCCAAATAGTCCTGTTCTGATAACAAATTTGGGATTATCTTAAACTTTCAGTCACCAGGACAAATAGAGAGGGTAAATCTCCCTAACAGAGACACAGACAGCAATAGAAACTTGACATGTGTTCTAATCCCTCTCCACTCTAAAAAAACAGTTTTGGCTTCCGTTGCACTCTAAGCCTGTTGTGGGCTGACAACACACAGTATTTCTGTGAACTGAGTAGTGTCAGCCCTGCCTACTGTCTTTTGCTATACCACTCAACCACCGCCGCTGATAAATCTCTACAACACAAAGGCTAATCATTCTGTAGTCCATAATGAGTTAATTTCCACTTTAAGGAGTTTATTTAGACACCACGTGTAAATTCTAAGTGAAAAAGAAACCTAAATCAAGTATATCGATCACACAGATATGTTTAGAGCTATCAAAGCACAATGATCCACGTTGTGCTTCCCTTTCTAAATGAGACTACTGAAACTATTTCTGACGCCTTCAGACTGGAAATGGAAGACTTCTAAATAGTGCTATATATGAAGAATGTACTTGGCAGACATGTACTGCGTAGTGGTTTCCCAGTGCTCTCCAGCAGCCTTGTCCATTCCCACTATGTTAGAGAAATCCATGGAGCTAGATTTAATATGGAACCAATAATAATAATAAGTTAAGGGGCTGAGCAATGGCGTACATGGCCAAAAAAGTGTCAAAGCAAAACTCACAGTTGCCATGGTTACAGTCTAATGGCTATTCCCAAAAAACCCCGGTCCCCAGGCCATAGTCAGAAGGTTAATGTCTGATGACACTATCTGCAAGTCTGTTTATTTTCAGACTGGAGCCGGAAAAGTGACACCAGGATGGCACTGTCTGTGACATGTGGAACACATGGAGGATCAAGCACTGTGTCCACTCGCTACTGACAATATGAAAGATTTCTGCTGTGATTCATTAGACACACGTAACCTTACTCTGCCAGCAAAATATCCCAGTCTTCACCCAGTGTACTAAACAAGATTACACAGAAAAATGAGAAAACCTCATTGCTTCAATGTGAGTCTATGTCTGACCAATCCAGAGGCATGCAACTGTCAAACGTGAATTGATTGCAATTCATTAAGCACCTATTGCAACAATCAGACACACTGAGCACACTTGTACGCCACAATGAGTATGTGCAAACACATGCTGTGAATGTCTGTTAAGGCCGTGTATGTTTTATCCCTTTTAGGCTAGGTTCACAACTAGGCGACTAAGCTCGTGAGCGGTTGTCGTGTGTTTTCGTTTGTGCGACTGTTCTTTGAAATCCGCACGGTTTTAAATGCATTGAGATGTCTATGGGACCCAAACCGCCCAAAAATAGCTCCTGCACCTTTTTGCATGACAGGTGATTTCGTCCGTGCGACAAACCGCAAAGGTGTGAACAGTCTCCATTGACTTCAATGCGAAGTGTGTTTTACGTGATATTGTGTAACTCACACGATATATCTTGCCCTTAAGACCCTGAAAGTAGGAGAAAAATACCCGTTGACCTGTCAGAAATTCATGCAGCTCCTAAAGTAGAACTAAAGCCAAACCTGAACCTTTTTTTTTTTAGTTTTGGATAGAATAAGGGGGAGTTATAATGTAAGCTTGGTTGTCATCAGAATAACTTTACTGAGCCCAGTGCAGGCATTAGTTCAGTGTGGACGGCCTGGCAGAGCAGTGGAGGGCGCAGTAGCTAGTGGTACCCCCTTCAGACTGGCGCCCAGGGCTGGGTTTTTTCTCTCTGCTGCCCCAATGCCACGTCCTTTATGCGCCCCCTTCTCCCCAATGGAGAATGGCAACCAGATGGCGGGGGTGGCAGAGTTAGTTTCAATTTTTTTTCTTTATTTTTTTAAACTTGTTTATAACTTTTTCATTTTTTTAATTTATTATTATTTTTTTTACTTTTTAAAATTTATATTTATCTTATTATCTTTTACTTTTTTAATTTTTTATAATTTGTATAACTTATAATTTTTTTACTTTTTTATAATTTTTTCTCTTATTATTTGTTACTTTTTTTATTTCTTAATCTTATTATATTTTACTTTTTATCACCTTTTTATTTTCATTTTAATTGGGGTTTTTTCACGTATTTTTTTCATAATTGTTATTTTATCATTTTTTATCAATTTTAATTTTTTTAAATTTCACATTTTTTTTTCACTTAACTTTATTGCTATCACACAGGAGATAACAATCCCCTGTGTGATAGCATTTGGAGGTGACCGGTTCTCTTTATTGAACCGGTCACCTCCAATACAAAAGTTCTAGCACAGCACTGTACTGGAACTCCTGTGACAGCTGAAAGGGAAGGCTGAGAGTTCAGCTCTCCCCTCTCACTGATTACTGTCCCGGTAGGGGGGAGCCCGACGCCCTGGAAGTTCATGTCCTAGGCCATAGGAATCCCTGCCGCCCTCTGCTCTCTGGGATATTCAGCCCTGCCGGCGCCTCCTTCATACCAGTGCCTGGGGGCAATTGCTGCGCTGCCGGGTGTTCTAATCCCTCTGTAGTCCATTCAAAACTAAAAAATGTTTTGGCTTCAGTTGAACTTTAAGGCCTGTTGTGGGCTGACAACACACCACATTTTTGTGGAGTGGTGTCAGCCCTGCCTACTGCCATTTGCTAAACTACTCAACCACTCCTACTGAAATCTCTTCAACATAAAAGCTAATCATTTTTTAGTCCATGATAAGAATTGGGAGGGCTAAATAGCCTTTTTGAGTGTACAGAAGACACAGTACAGCTCTGATGAACAGGTATTTGTTGTGCTTATCAAACAGATATCACAAAACACTTTCAATTGTGTATTTATTAGACCAAAATGGAGTAAATAAAAGGAGTATATGAATGTCATACGATGCCATACATGCTACAATCTGGTTATACAATCTGCTTCAGAATACCAAAATCTATGGCTCCGTTCACATCCCTGCAATGTGACATCACAGTGGCGGTAGATCAGCCCATTCATTTTGGATTTCAAAAGGAGGAGCCCAGGCAAAAAACCCACCAAAAAACAACGTGAAGTTTCCCGCTTCACATTAGAGTCCCCCCTTCATATCAGAAGCTCCAATTTCACATCAGGAGCCCCACTTTTACATTAATAGCCTCCCCTTTCACTTAAGGAGCCCCCCCCCCCCCTACATACAAAGCGCCCCCACA